GACGCGCTAGGTCCGCACTGTGGCGGTCGGTTTCGATCGCGTTTCCTTCTTCGCCGGAGCGGGATTGGAGGGCGGGAGTGGCAGTTGCCCGTAGGAGAGAATGAGGCGGTGTGGGATGAGGTGAGGAGGCTGCAGGCTCACTCGCTCAAGAAGTCGCATCGAGGAGATCTTTATCTTTTTTCGGTTGTTTTTTAAACGATAGATTCTAGTTCACACATCAGTATGGCAAAAACGTGCACACCAGTTACGTTATGGTAATAAAACTTAATCTGAAAGATAACGTTACTTAATAAAAATAAATCGTTCCGTGCATATGAAAATTCTTCTATACACACATACAGAAAAGCCAGCTGGATGACGGATGACTCTTGAAACGGATGACTCTTGAAACATTTAAGCACGGACCAGAAGCTAAAGGTGACAAAAACTAGGGTCAGTAGGATAAATAAAAGTTTTCAGCAGCTTCCTTTAAAGACAAATATTAAAATAATCAGTACCGAAGAAGAAGAGGGAAAAAAGAGGGAAAGTGAGGAGTGTGTGCTATGAAACCCAAGCAAACAATGACATATGTTAATTTAGGTTAGACGGGTAGAGAGATTGAGACAGGAGCAGTTTATTTGGTGACAATAAAATAAAGATTTACACAGTATACTGAAGACCAATATAGAAGAGATGACTGTGGACCTTGAGATTGCATGGGTAATTCTTAAAGAAACAGATGTGCCCCTACACTTGAATGTCATGATGCATTACATGTACTCTGGACAAGAGACTACGATTAAAGCAGAATGCAGAACAGAATTATTTACCACAGGCAAAGGCATGGGACAAGGGTGCAGTTTATCTCTCTGCTTAACCTGTGTTCAGAATAAATCATGGAAAATATTTATTTAGATTCAGATAAAGAAGTGGAATGTGGCGGAAAAAATAGAAATTATTCAGGATATGTAGATGATACCATGTTCCTCATGGAAAGCAGCAAAGACCTGAAATAGCTCATTATGGAGATTAAAAGCAAAATGGCAGTTGAATATTAAGAAAAAAATCATGTCTACAGAAGAACTGTATAACTTTAATGCTGACAATAGGGTAGTGGTTAGTAGAGAGAAAAACTGACTAGGACTCAAAGAGATCCAGATTTGATCTCTCAGCTCTCCCATGGAAACTCAGTGAGGGGTGGGTGGGTGGAACTGGTAAAACCACTGCTTATATACCTCACTTATCTTGAAAACCATATTTGAATTGCTTTATGTAAGTTCTGACTTGATGCCACTTAACAACTGTGGACAATAAAGAAATTGAAATTGGTTAAGATTTTATACACATCTGTTCAATCACCAATCCAAATGGACACTACAGCGAAGAAATCAGAAAACGGAGACTTGGATGGACAGTTACAAAGGAACAAGAAGATAGGGTCTGGTCAAATGGATAGGTATGGTGAATCTATCTTCCAACAGGGTAGGATCCCAGCATGCTTAAAGGAGGCAGTAGTATGACCATTGTTGAAAAAGCCCTCAAATCTTGAAATATTGAGTAACTATTGATTTGTCTCTAATATTCCATTCTTGGGCAAGGTGCTGAAACAATTCATGGCTTCTCAACTGCAGTGGTTCCTGGATGAGACAGATGATCTAGATTCATTTCACTGTAGCCTCTGGTCTGGTTATGGAACAGAAACTGCTCTGGTCACCTTGTTGTATGATCTATGTCAGGAACTGGACAAGGGGAGTGTGTCCCTGTTGGTTCTGCTGGACTTCTCAGAGGCTTTCGATACCATCAATCATGGTATCCTCCTGGCCCATCTCTCTTGAATGGGACTTAGAGGCACTGTTTTACAATGGCTCCAGTTCTTTCTGGAGGAGAGAACTCAGAAGATGGTGGGGGGGATTCCTGTTTGACACCCTAGCTGCTGGCCTGCAGGGTCCTTCAAGGTTCTGTTTTATCTCCTATGGTATTTAACATCTACATGAAACCACTGGGAGAGGTTGTCTGGCATTTTGGGGTTTAGCGTCATCAGCATGCAGATGACAACTGTAAGACTGACTGTCAGAGCAAGATTCCTGTCACGGGAGTGCAATCCCTCCTGCCCTGTGCCGACAAGGAAGTACAAATGCCACCTATTCCTCCTTCCAGGAAGACCACCTGAAACTTGTAGAAGAGAAGTTGATAGAAATGGCTGTTAAAGAAAGTGGGAATATTTTGCCAGCCCTTCCAGGAAGACCACCCGAAACTTGTAGAAGTTGAAAGAAATGACTGTTAAAGAAAGTGGGAATATTTTGCCAGAAATGGAACGACAACCCTGGGTAGAGGTAGAGGTGGGGCTTGTGGATATAAAGAGGGAGGACAGGAACCTGCCTCGTGGTTGGGAATGGATTTGGTTGGAAGATCCATGGAAGGGGAAAGGAGAAAAACTAAGGGTCCCAAAGGAGGAGGTGGATGCTAGAAGGAGAAGGGAGAACACCCCTGAACCATCTTATTGGGGGGAATGAGAGACAAAAGAGTGGAGAAGGAAGTTAAGAGAAGAGAAGGAAAAAGTGGAGAGAGAGAGAGGAGGGAAAGATTAGAATGGCGGATGATGGAGCTACAGTGGAGGTGTCTCTCAGAAGACTATGGCTGGAGGATTTCCTCTCTCGAGACCAGGTTTGGACAGATGACCGGGATGAAGACACCGTCCCCTTACTGGAAGGAGAGACAAGACAATTATTGAACACAGACTTTGCACTGGACTGGCCGGGTCCCTGAAACGTTCAGGGGTGTAACCCCTTTAAAGTTGAAGAGTGGAAGCCCCCATCTAACCAGTTGTTGGAGGGAGGAAATGGTTGGAATACCTTTCCTGACACAGGTTATTTGTTAAACAATCCAATAAATGTTACACCGATTTCTAAACCAAGTCTGTCAATTTATTTGAAGAAAAACCGGAGCCTGACCCCCGAACCCTCACAACAACCAACTCTATCTCTCCTTGCCATCTAATTCTGAGGAAGCTGTTTTGGCTTTAGATCAATGTCTAGTGTCAGCAATGGACTGGATGGGGCAAATAAACAGAAACTTAATCTAGACAAGGCAGATTAAGGAATAGGATGAGGTTACACTCCCTCTGAGAATGCAGGTGCTCATGGGGGTGCTCATGGATTTGTCTTTCAATCTGGATGCCCAGGTTTTGGTGGTGGTCAGGAGTGCCTTTGTACAATTAAAACTAGAGTATCAGCTGCACCCATTCCTGGAGAGTCCTGATCTAGCCACACGTTTTAGATACATCCTGACTGGATTACTGTAACACTCTAGGTGGGGCTGTCTATGGAAAGTGTCAGGAAACTTCAGCAGGTCTAAAATGTATCTGCCAGATTACTATCTGGGGCTGGTTGCAAGGATCACAGAACCCCGTTATTGCAGCAACTCCACTGGCTGCCAAACTAGGCAGAATTCAAAGTACTGGTTCTAAGCTATAAAGCCCTACACAGCTTGAAACCGAGCTATCTCAAGGACCACATCTCCCTTTATGAGCCTGCTTGAGTATTAAAATCATCAGGAGATGTCCTCTTGGTCCTGCTACTTTCACAGATGCTTTTAGTGGGGGCACAAGACAGGGCCTTCTCTGTTGCTGGTCCTGGACTTTGGAACTCCCTCCCATGGGAGGCCAGGCTGGCCCCATCTTTGCTGTTCTTCCACAAGTAGATGAAGGTCTTTCACTTCAAGTAAACTTTTGCTTAGTGACTGGTTGCCTGAAAGGGCTTTTTAAATGGATTGTTGTACATTACTGTTTTGAATGTGTTGTGGTGTTGCTTGTGTTTTTTAGTATGGTATTTGTTTGATCCCACTTAGTATACTCACTGTTGCTAGCTTTAAATACTGTATTTTAATGATCTAAGCCTTCTAAGTTCCTTTCTAAGGAGAAAGGCAGGATAAAAATATTTTAAATTTTAAAAATTCCCAAGTATAAGGATGTGCCACCAGAGACCTAGACAACTATACTATAGTACTCTTATTTACTATGAAGGGATGTGAAAGCTGGACAGTGAAGAAAACAAAGAGGGAAAATGTGTTAATATGAAATGTGTTTTTAAAGGAGAGATTTATAAATACCACGGACCACTAAAACCATATACTGTATGTATTAGATAAAATGAATTCTGAACTCTCTAAAAGTAGAAATGATAAAACCTTAGCTGTCGTACTATGGGCATATCATGAGAAGATAAGAGTCGCTGCAAAAGACAATAATGTTGGAGAAAGTGAAGGCAAGTCTGATGGACTGATTTTAAACAAAGAGCTTCTAATCGAATCTACGTTCGTATATTGTTCGTGCTTGCGGGACAAGTCCCTCTTCTGCTGTTTTATATTTATGGACCCAACCGAGGTCGGGGGATCCAGCGGCCATGTTAAGTCCGGGCAAACGAAATCAATGTTTCTCTTCTCTCCTTTTCTTTTCCTTCCTGGTCAACCAAACACACGGAATTTATTGGACAAGAGGGTTGCTATTATTTCCATTTAACTCTTCAATTGCGGCTGCTCCACGGCAAAATAAAACCCCTGATTATTCGCGTCGCCCTTATCCAAGATGACCGCACGAGCCCAGGGGCTCTGTCACTTCCTGATTCCGGCTTCATGCTCGGGTAGCCTTGGCCCCGCCCCTTTCCGGGGCTCTGAAGTGCAGCGCGTCACGTGCGCTCAGGGTTGTCCTGTCTGGAGAGGCCACGTGGGTGCCTTGCGGGTAAGTCCAGGTTGGTTGGGAGCGGGCCGATGGACCCGTCGGGTCTCGCCCTGACCGTGTCGTCGTTAGCCAGGGACGGATGGCATGCTTTCATTTTGTCAGATTGCCCAAATCCCGGGGGCAAACAAAGAGGACCATGAGCCGAAATCTCCCCTAACTAGAGGAAATAGGGCAAAAATTGGGATTAAAGATGGAAAATCAGGTTGTGGGTGGCTTAAAGTGAGAAATGAATTGAATTGAGAGCATGTGATGCTAAAGCTCCACGATGATAATAGCATGTTGAAAGTCTGTTCATTTATTTATTAAAAAATAAGAATAAAATGTACGTGTTGCTGGCCAGGGTAAGCCAGAAGGCTGGTGTCTTTAGCATAAACACAGGAGAATATCTTTATCACCTGTAAAATAGCTGTGGTAGTGTCAGAAGTTTCTTGTCACGTTTTTGTTACATGCTGTCAAATCGCTCCAGAGTCATGGTGACCCTATGAATGGACAATCTCCTAAATTGTCTTCAACAGCTTGCAAACTCCAGGTTGTAGCTTCCTTTAGAGAGTCAATTCATCTCAACTTCCTCTTTTCCTGCTGTCTTTGAACTTTCCCATCATTATTGTCTTTTCCAAAGAATCCTTCCGTCTCATGATGTGCCCAAAGTAGGACAGCCACAGTTTCAACATTTTTTTTGTGCCTAGAGATAAATCAGGCTTGATTTTCTCTTCAGAGGCCATTAAAGTTTATCCTGGTGTAAACTTCTTTGAACTACAGTCAGCTTTGTTGGATATTTATGGAAATCCATGAAATAGATTGAGAAAGAAGTTTGCTTTAGGAGTCAGTCTAGAATTTATTCAGTGAAGCCAGTTATTTTCCCTGGAAAACTGCATTCCAGTGGCTACTATGCAGTGAATTAACATGGCACTTCCATTCTCACATGTTTGTTGGGTTCTAGGCTGACATGAAATAATATGGATCCATCGTTTGTGTTGGAAAGTACAATAATGTGGAGCCTATACCAGATTAGAATCGAGACAGTAAATATGGAAGCAATTTATTCGTTTAAGATTGCAGTGTGAGTCAGCTGTAGAGCAAATGGAATAAACTAAAACAGACTTATATGCATTATTGAACTGCATTTCATGAGCAGACACTGGTGCCTCCTCCACATAAGGCAGCTACACATATCTGCTGTGTTAGTGGTGCTGACACTTTTGAGCTCTAGCACCTTTCCTGTCTTTGCTATACTTGCTGCAGCCATAGGCTAGTATATCTGCACATGGGGCGGAAGCTGTGGAAGCTGCCATAATGACCCGAACTGGGTTGCACACAAGTTGTTTCTTGTCACATCACCGTAGACATTTCTTCCGTTGCAGCCCTATGGGCTTAAAGATTGAACAGTATATTGGTGATAATATCTAAATGGAACTTCTGATGTAGAGGAAGTATGTCTCTGAATGGTATTTTAGCGGAGTGAGTAAAAGGACAGTTGTCCTTGTAGTTTACTTGCAGGCTGTCCAAAGCCATTTGGTGCTTGTAGAAATAAAACATTGGATTAGAATCGAGACAGTAAATATGGAAGCAATTTATTAGTTTAAGATTGCAATGTGAGTACAAGGTAGAGGTAGGATCGGACCACAAAATCTCAAAAATATTGACCTTTGAAAAATGTGAAATGGCCAGTTATCTATGCCCCTTGTTTCATCTGCCAGGTCCTATAATTTTTTTAAAAAATTAAATAATAATTAAATTGGTATATTTGGGATGTGTGGAAAATTGAAACTGACAAGTCAGAAGATTCTGATACAAATGTTTTTAAAGCTAGCAGCTTTCCTTGTTTCATTTTTTGTCTTCATTTTGATTAAATTACCTAAATAAATTTTATGTCTGTTATGTATGGGGGATAGGCAGTGTAGCCTCATAACGAGGCATAACATAATTTTTGGTAAAAGGAATGAGATGGGTAGGCCTAAAACAATTCTGTGCATTTTTAATACCGCCCTTCTCCTACCTAATGCCCCGTCCCACTAACTCCAGCCAGCATTGGCTGTGCTGATTAGGTATGATGGGATTTGTAGTCCATGATACGTAGGAGACCAGCATGTTGGAGAAGACTGCCATACACTTTACCCCAACGTCTGTAAAAAATATAACAGATATATCTAGCTGGAGATGCTTGTATTATTTCAGATGACACGTTGGTGTTGATGATGTATCAAACCTGTGCTGTGTACCTAAAGTGTTTCTTTAGGAAAGAGGCAAAAGTTAACAAAAATCCTTATTTCCTTTTCAGTTATGGTCTTTTTACAATGATGTAAATGGGAATTTCCTATCCAGAATGGCTGAGAAGAAACCATCGGGAGGACAGTACCTGCTTCTGTTACTGATCATTGCTGTTGTCTTCACACACTTAGCAGTTTGTCCATTTACGAAAGTAGAGGAGAGTTTTAATCTGCAAGCCACCCATGACATCTTGTATCATAGGCTGGACCTGGAAAAGGTGAATATTGGTGTTCTTTTAGAGGGTCCTTTTAGATATTTCCCTCAAGATAGAATGCTGTTGAGTTATTTTCATCTGATCAAATAACTCAACAGCATTTTCACTAATTTTCACGCTTCCAGCTCTGCATTATTAGGTGTAGCATGATAATCTTATTTTGGATTCTCAAAGTGATATGAACAGAAATAAAAGAGCAAAAGAAGCTCCAACCTGATATTTGAGGGGTGTCAAAGACAAGAGTTTTATGTGTTTCTGTTGTGGGTGATCAAGTATTAAGCACTTAATTTATGTGGCTTGTTTATATAGTATATGAAGAAAGGTGTTCCACCTCAATGCATTCCTCTTGATTTTCCTGCTTGATTTGCTGTGTGAACAACTATGGTAGTTCTAATCCAAGGTGAAATATTTTGATTGAAAGCCCTATGTCTGTATAACGTCTGTGTAATGCAGGGTTGGGAAATCTGTGGCCCTCCAGATGTTCTGGACTTCAGCTCTCAGGAGCCCTGACCACCTTGTCCAAGAGTAAAGGGCATGTGGAAGCTCCATTCCGAAACATCTGAAGAACCAAAGGTCTACCACCCCTCATGGAACTCTAGGGGTATACTTGAAGTAGGGGTCCTGTGAAGAAATGTATTCTGCGAATGGCTCCTCTAAGAGTTCTGCAAACATGGAAACCCAGTTTGGTTCCCTTGTTTGTGGGAGCACAGAAATAGGAGAAGGCAGGCAGAATACTGTTTCACAGGGAAAATATTCATTCAATCTATATATATACAGTAGCTGGTTGAGAGTTGTACAAAGTATACATGCTGATTTTTGGGTTGTGACTCCAGTGTTCACTTAACCTTGTCCTCTTTGAAACGTAACCACTGAGAGATATGTATTCATGTTGTTAGCTTTATCACTTTTAAAAGGGCCAGGATGGCTTCGATGAAGGTCATGGGAAAGGCTGTATCTCCGTGGGGGTATTGTTTCCATAGGAAAGATGACAAGCCCAATTTCTGTTTTTTTCTAGGCAGGGCTGGGTATGACTTCCCTGTGAAAGTCTAGGGAGCTATTGTTGGTTGGTGTAAGCTATACTGAGCTAGAACAGGGACTACTGTAGATTGACTTCCAAAGGACTGACGGGGGCTCCGGACTTCTGCACCTGCTGCTGTTTCTACACCTGCTGCTGTTACTGGGAAACAGAGAGAGTGTGCTTGATTTCCCAGTAAATTATTTTTCCATTGTGCCGTGTTTCATTGTAGAATTGCTAGATTTGAGTGGTGAAACCTGCAGGGACAACAGGAACCCCAGCAGAGAGAGCCTGAGTGGCTAGGCGGAGAAGGGTGTATACTGCCCTCAACTGATCCTTGATCAGACTTGATATGGAGGCGGCTTCATTGTGAGCCTCCTGGAGGCCCCTGATCAGGAGAAAGGTGTCTTGTGTAAAGGGTACAAAATAAATAAATAAATAGCTGGGCTAGTTCGTTCAGGCCACAACAAAAACAAAAGTATTAGAGCACCTTGTGTGAAAGTAATAAACTTATTTCATTATGAGTTTTTGTGGATTATAATCCATTTCTTCAGATTCACTGTGTCCCATATGTCTAAAGAAATGGATTGTTAATTTGTGAAAGCTCACACTGAAATGCATTTGTGAGTTTTAAAGGCACTATAATCTAATGGTTGTTGTGGGTTTTTCGGGCTCTTTGGCCGTGTTCTGAAGGTTGTTCTTCCTGACGTTTAGAACATGGCCAAAAACCGAAAAACCCATAACAACCATTAGATCCCGGCCGTGAAAGCCTTCGCAAATGCACTATAATCTGTTTTTTTCTTCTTCTTTCATTTTTGCTATTCATTGCAATAGTTTCATAAATCTTAATAGGGTTGCTCTGGAGTAAATGGTTTGAGGATTCCTGTCTGATCTCGCTCAACCTATACTGGGTCTAATCTAAAATAGAAATCATATAATGCAATATAATACTCTTTCTGGTTATTTTTATTTGGTCTGTATTACCAGCCTTCTTCTTTAAAACATTTTTGCAGTATGATCATCATGAATTTCCTGGAGTTGTCCCAAGAACGTTTCTTGGTCCGATTTTCATTGCTGTACTTTCCAGCCCAGCCATATATGTGCTCTCTCTGTTACGGATGTCTAAGTTTTACTCTCAGCTGATAGGTGAGATCTGTTGTTCAAAGTCCAATAGGACATTTGTATGCCTGAATATTTTTCCTCACTGTTGCTCCATAGTGTGCTGTAATCTCTAAAGCTGTTACATGGCCAAGGTAGTTTAGATAATCTTGTCATGTATTCATAGCTTGGAGTGAATACTATGAATATAAAAGGCTTAATTTGTTAAGGTTTTAATGAGAAGAAGACTCAAAATGTAATGTATAGCAACACTGTCTTTGATAGGTTTTGCCAGGGATAGAATCAGCAGTAAAGGCACAGAAAAAGTCCGAGGATCAGAAGCAATGTTGTTTTCTTACCCTGGACTGTTGTCTGGATTTAAAAAGGTTAATAAAGAGTTATGTCTTTACTTAGAAGACACTGATCCAGTGTGTGGCAGTAAATGATGATGATCAGTTAGATAATCAGAGGTGCAGAATTCTGAATTAGAAATATTGACTGAAACTTTGTTGTATAGTAATGCAAATGGTATAACTTTTGGAAGCAAACTGCTAGTAAATTAAGAAATCTCCATCTCGTGCATATTGAGTTGCATGGCTCAGTGTACAGTAGATAATCTCAATGGAGATTTCTTAATTTGTGGCAATTTGTATCTAAAAGTTAGGCCATTTATGTAACTGCAACATGATTTCAGCCATTGAGTGCCTCTTAACATTTCTCTGAATTATCAGATGACTGTTTCCTTTATCTACTTTGAATTAAGAAGTTTAGTTAAAAATAGAAATCTAGTGTTATTATACAGAGAAAGAAACCGCCTTGGTTAGCAAAGTTTTGTTTGTAGAAGCTGAGTGGTAGATTCTTCAAATCCCTCCATCTTTATTTTTCAGACTAAAGGTATTGTTTTTCTCTGATTCCTCCTGCCCGCCATATATGTAAAGGAGACGAGTGTCCTTCATCTCTCTTACAGACAGCACACTTTGCAGTTTGTGTTGCCATTTTTCTATGATCTGGCTACTCTTTGGCAGTTTCCATTTCCTACTACAGCTAGGAAGTTGGAAATGGGAAAAGCTTCTCTGAACTGCTGCTGTTGCTGCTGTGATTTTCTCCCCTTCTCTGACACTCTTTCTGTGCATTCCCTGCTGGAGGTTACATCCCTGGCAAAATAGATGAACTAAAACTATTAAGTTATGGATAAATGGTAAACTGAGCAGGAGCAAATTAAGTTCAATAATGATATTCACAGTGCTTGGTTAATAGGTCAGTTAAATAATAATTAGTTTATTCCAAGCTTTGTTTCTATGATCGATAATAATTTCTGAACACTTCACTTTAACCCAAGTCCGAGGAAGCCTGGGTTTGAGCGTGATCTATGCCTTGTGGCGGATGCACAAAGAAGTGAGAAAGCAGTTTGGTTCAACCGTCTCCATGTTCTTCTGTTTGATAACTGCTACTCAATTCCACCTGATGTTTTACTGCACTCGAACTCTCCCCAATGTGTTTGCACTTCCCATTGGTAAGTCATTACACAGAGCAAAAAATCACTTCTCGCATTAATAGTTAAGTGTAAAACAAAATATCTTTAAACAGGGTTACAGATGCCTTGAGATATTCCCTTGTTTAGCCCTATGTAGATACAGTACACACCTTTGAATTGAACCATTAGTTCCGCAGAATGTGTAAAACTCTCTGGATGCATCACAGCTGATGTAATTGAATCCCTATTTCCTCATAGTTTCCACTTGTCCCTCTTTTGTAGTGGATAGCCTGTGAATAGGGGTTATTTGTTTAGGTTTTGGTTCATAATGTAAGGCTAAATCCAGTTGTTCATTCCAATTAGAATAGGTCCGCTAAGTCAAAGGGACTTATCTACTCTAGTTGGGTGTCTAAGTCCTAGGTGCAGAATGGGTGACTTTCCCCAATGTTTTTGGAATTTAACACCCAGCAGTCCTAGCTATTTATTTATTGGATTTTTACCCCACCCCTCTAGACCATGTCTACTCGGGGCAGCTTACAAAATAAAACAAAACAGTATAAAAATATATAAAATCATAAAAATTACAGTTACAGTTTTAATTAGAACAATTAATTTAAAGAAAGGATTACCAAGATGGAATAGCATAAGAAAGGGAAAAATAAGAAAGACTTAGTTGACTGGAGGGAAGGCCTGCTTGAATAGCCACGTTTTTAACTGGCTTTTAAAAACACCCAGCAAGGGTGCCAGCTGAATTTTTGTTGGGAGGGTGTTCCACAGCCGAGGGGCCACTGCCGAGAAGGCCCGGTTTCTTGTTTTTTCCTTCCAGGCGCCTCTCGGTGTCAGACCCCTCAGCCGTCCCTGCTGGCTATATCAGGTGATTCAGATAGATCTGGGTGTGAGAAAACAATCTGCTAAATATTGAGGTCCCAAACCATTTAGGGCTAGGCAAGTGGTCAACAAGGAGAATTACAGTCTAACAACATTTGGAGTGCTATCCCTTCCATGTCTCTGTTCAGAACTCTCTCTGTCACTCTTGCACCATGTATCTATCCTGCCAAATTGAAATTTTCTGCAGTTGCCTTTGAAAAGGGAGTAGAAATCATAATTATTTACTGAAAAGTGCCAAAACACAACAGCAGACTAGCTGACTTATGTCAATTGCATTGCCATCTAATGGGCTGTAGTGTTGAGTTCAAGGTACCAGCCTCTCTTTACCTCTGAAGCCCAGTGTGGCTTTGATCCTGTTTATTTTATGCAATGTGAGTCTATCTGTCTGTTAAGATCTACAGGAGAAGAAAGCCATATATCAGCTTATCTTTCTTGGTAATAAGAGGTCTGCAGAAAGATGCAGCCGGGTCTTTTTGGCTGAAGCTTAAGAATGGCAGAATGCCTAAGTAGAATTCTTAGTACACCAGTCTGGAAGCTGTATAAAATAATGCAGGTTGATTCTCAACAGGTTTTGTATACTAACATATGTTGTCAGACTCGAGTTCCATCAGCCACATCCATCAGGGAGAATAGTCAGGAATAGTGGAAACTGTGTTTTGTAGAGTATGGTTGGTTTTTTTGGGTTGTTGGTTGCTGCAGGTATTCGTTGCTGCTGATATACAGCCAATATTTATTAGTTGCTATGCCGCATTCTGACCTTCCATAATGATACAGTTTTTGAAACACAGTGTATTCAATGTCTGGTTTGTTTGTCTGTTAACTAGTTCTGTTGGCAGTTACATCTTGGATACAGCAAAAGCACCATGCATTCATCTGGTTCTCCGCTTTGGCAATTATTGTCTTCAGATCAGAGCTTTGTCTGTTCCTGGGGTTTATGCTTCTGATGACGCTGTTCAATAAAAGACTTTCATTTGTGAAAATGTTGTCGTATGCCATTCCTGCAGGAGCTTTTTGGTTAGGTAAGTTTTTAAGGTGCCTTTGAACCAGTTGAATTGACTTCTGAAATGCCACATCATTTGGATACCTTTGCCCTTCCAGATGTTTTGGATTTCAACTCCCAGAAATCTGAGCAGACATTGCTTATGGTAAGAAATTGTGGAAGTTAAAGAATAAAATATCAAGCAGGTTTAGGTTTCATACCTGTGTTATCTGTGTTGAAATGTGCATTCTTTCTGTAGGGTTTATCTGTATGCTTACATGCAAGAATGCTCCAAATAGACATCTAACCACTGGGGGGAAATGATAATGAATATACACAGATAAACCTCAGGTGGTGTAGCATGGTCTTTATGTACCTTGGTTAGGACTCTGTGCAAACCACAGGGTCACTTCTCAAACAAGGGTTGATGTACCTTTGGATCTTCAGATACTTTCTGCTTCAACTCCCATCAGCATAACCAGTGGTAAAGGAATATGTCAGTTGTGCAAACATCTGAAGGGCTAAAGATTTTTTGCCATTGACCAGGCAAAGTAGAGCCCTCCACAAGTTGATAAATGCCAATTCCCAGCATTTCTCCCCACTGACTGTGTTGCTAGTACAGATGAGATTTGTATTCAGGCTTTCCTGAAGCATTAAGATCTCAACCTTCCTTTTTGCCCTCTTTTCCATCACCCTTTTTTACCACTTTCGTTGCCATCTTTTAAAATTTTACCCTATTTGGTTATGTATTAATTTATTTTTATTGTGTTTTAATATTGTTGCTGATATTCTTGTTAGAGTGGCCTGGTTGCCAGATGGTGCAGGGTATAAATTCAATAAAATAAAATAAAATAAAGGCTATGGATTGCAAGGCAAGAGAAGGGGACGACAGAGGATGAGATGGTTGGACAGTGTCATCGAAGCTACCAGAATGAATTCGACACAACTCCGGGAGGCAGTGGAAGACAACCACTTTCATTGCCATCTTTTAAAATTTTACCCTATGTGGTTATGTATTAATTTATTTTTATCGTGTTTTAATATTCTTGCTGATATTGTTGTTGGCCACCCAGAGTGGCCTGGTTGCCAGATGGTGTGGGATATAAATTCAATAAATAAATAAATAGTCCAGCCACATCTGGAAGGGCCCATGTTGCCCACCCCGCACTAGAGTGCTCACATTGGTGCAGTGTGTAGACTTGCCATTTGTGCCATTGTCTTTTTTCTTAAATTAGGTAAACTTTCAACAAATTATAAATTTAGGAGAATTCAACAATTTGGAATTCAGATTGAATAACACAGTCTCATTTCACATTATTTTTGATACTACAGGTCTCCTGTCACTGTCTTCCTGCTTGTCACATTTATTTTATTTTTTTTTAATTATTTTTTAATTTCCAAAACAAATACAACAATACAAAATACTTACTAATACAATCTAAAACAGTGCACCCCCATACCCACGGGAACCTTTGGAGCAATTCTTTTATTACAAACCTCCTTTCCAAAATAGTATTGATCGTTGATTAGAGGCTTTCCGCTTTCCTTTCAGATGCACCACCATACCCACGGAAACCTTTGGAGCAATTCTTTTATTACAAATCTCCTTTCCAAAATAGTATTGATAGTTGATTAGAGGCTTTCCGCTTTCCTTTCACTAGTACAAATTCAATAGATCTACCCCAAATAGCATAAAAATATTTAAACTTATTTCCCTTCTTTTCATCTTAAGTTCGTAGTCAATTTGTTGTTTAACACAATGTCCCATACTTCGTTATGCCAATCTTCTAATTTATTATCATGTTTGTCTTTCCATAATGTAGCTATTAATATTCTAGCACTTGTCATAAAATTAGAAATCAATACTCTGGTTTCTCTTCAGATCGCATAAATCTTTCGCCTTTTGCTTGTCGCATTTATATGAAGTCTTTCATTCAATCATGGGTTAGTTAATCCTATTTTAAGTGTATTTGTGAAACAGGTCTGCAGGTAAAGTTTGTAAAGTTCTCTGTTTATCTTTAAGTGTTTGTATCTTCTAGGACTCACAGTAGCCTTGGACTCTGTTTTTTGGAGGCAGCTTCTGTGGCCCGAAGGAGAAGTACTTTGGTATAACACAGTTCTAAACAAAAGTTCCAACTGGGGAGTATCCTTTAAATACTGATTGAGGATAAAACTGCAGCACACTGAGATGAGATATAGTCTGACCTATCCATGATGCTTAATTAGTTCTTGTAAAAAAAATGTGTTTAAACAAAAAAGCAGTGTCACTTTTCCTCCAATTAACAGCTGTGTGAACCCTTTAGTCTTTATAAAATAAACATCCAAGGAAGAGGAACGTAGTGGTCCTGGTCAACTTTCTTATCTGGAGAGGGACTTTTGGAAGAAATGAGGAGGCCCTCCTCTTCTCTATGTGGTATCTGCAGTCTTAAACCCGTTCATATGCTAGATGTCGCACATTCAGTCCCTTATGTGGTATCTGCAGTCTTAAACTCGTTTATATGCTAGATGTCGCACATTCAGTCCCTTGTATCTCCAGTTGATTCTGATCAGGTTGCCAGTGATGAAAGAGATGTCCTTTCTGCCTGAGATTCTAGAAAGCTACCACATCCTAGAAAAGATAATGTTGGGTAACAGGGACAAATTATCTAACACTTCCATAAGGCAGCTTCTTTCAGTGATGTGTTCTGTTGGTGGCATAACAAAAACCAAAAATATTGTGATGCTTTAAAGACTAACAGATTTATTTCAGTACAGTGATATGTTCTGTTGGTGGCATAACAAATAACAAAAATATTGTGATGCTTTAAAGACATAACAGATTTATTTCAGCCATCTTTGGAGTGTTACAGTCTTATTTCTTCAGACTCATTGGTCAAAACTTTGTTGTTTAACATAACAGTTAAGACTAATTTAATCAGTGGAACTTGCAGAGGTATTGATGCACCAGATATCCAATGAATGTTCTGTTGGTGGCATAACAAATAACAAAAATATTGTGATGCTTTAAAGACATAACAGATTTATTTCAGCCATCTTTGGAGTGTTACAGTCTTATTTCTTCAGACTCATTGGTCAAAACTTTGTTGTTTAACATAACAGTTAAGACTAATTTAATCAGTGGAACTTGCAGAGGTATTGATGCACCAGATATCCAATGATTCAATGGGTCTACTCTCATGACTTACTCACTAAAGACTCACAATGTTTAGGTGATAAATTTAGAGACCCATTTGCAGTGGTGTGGGGCTGGTGCTGAATAAAGACAGAACACAGGCTCAGCTGATGAATTTTGAAAGTGACAGTACCTTTGTGAACACAGGTCATGAAGTTTCCAAGTGTTTGTTATTTGAATCAACATGTTGACTGAAAGTTTCATTACCTGAGTTAATAAAGATTGTCATTTTGAACATATCTATCAGAGGGGGCAAGCAGATGTAACCTTAAAATGTAGCCTTAAAACCCTTCTGTAAAAGAAGGTGGAATGGGTAAATACCTGATCTTTACAGCTGAAGCGGACTGACCATTTCCACGCTTCACTGTTTCAACAAGATATTTACCTAAATTTATTTTTATTTTACTGAGATTTCTTTCTCATTGTTGTGAAAACATTCCAGTTCATTGAACTGCTGAGTGAAAGGCAAACCCTCGCCTTCCCTTGCTGCAGTGGTAAAGCAGTTCTGTCCTGTCCCACTGGCTGGAATATTGAGCAACAGTGACTGTGAAGTACGAGTCTATAACAAAGGTGTACAAGTGTGGACTGTTTCCATTCCAGATGCCAGCCATAGCTTCTTTTATGATACTCCAATCCACTGCCACTGTGTTCCGCTGTTATTTAGCTCTTTGCAGTCAGTCAGATCCCATGGCTGCTGAATATACATAGTCCTCATTGGCTTGTTGTTGATCCACCTGGCGTCCCCTCACTGAGGTTTTTGTCTGGTGTGTATACAGCCTTTTATGAATGCTGAGGTTCTCCCAAATGTGCTGATACCTCTTGCTGCCATTTTGGCTGTGCAACAATAAACTTTTGAAAGATTAGTTCAGTTTGCTCTTTTTAAGGAATTTTGCCCTTTCCTAAAGTTGTGGCATCTCTAAGGAGGAGGTGGGGAATTTTATGTATATTTGTACAAACATCTGTGCATATATCTCCCCTCCTTTGGATAATACATGTATTGAAGGGCAAACTGGTATCCTTGTATCTCATTTGGTATAGCTTGATTTTTACTTGCGCTGGATATGAACAGCATGTATGTGTGTATGTTATGAGCAGTACTGGGCACACTTATATAGTTATAATAATTATAATACAGGCAAAAGTTATTGTATAGGACAAAATATTTATTAAAACGATGGTGGTGGCTTTAAAAATCCTTAACTCTTCTTCAAAATTATTATCGAAGACCTCTCCGTTTCTGTGGTATTTTTATTCAGCCTTGCCCCGAGCTCTGGGATGCAGTATTCTGTTTATACCATTTGGTGCCATAGATAAAAGGACCCGAATATTAATTCTACCTACACTTGCTTTTATTTTCTTCTATTCATTTCTCCCACACAAAGAGTTGCGGTTTATTATATACACATTCCCAGTCTTCAATATAGTGGCTGCCAAAGGTTGCTCACGCATGTAAGTTTGGCTCTCCCCCCCCTTCTTATGTGTTATCATCTAACACCTTTCTAATCATTTAGGTCTAAATTCAGCTATTGGTTCCAAGTAAGGTGGACCCAGTGAATCAGTGGGGCTCATGTAGGTTGTGATGTAAAATCCCATTGATTTAGTTCTTGGGTTCTATATCTTTAAAAAAATAACCCGTGAGTTACCTATTCTGTTGAAGTATATTTTCAGATCCATAGAGAGCCAGTAAAATTGATCTTAAGCCCTCAAAGGAGAGAAAATAGATAAACAGTAAGGCATAAACTTATTTTGGCACTATGTAACAAACTCATATTAGAAAAAGATACTTATAGAACCAGAGGCTGTAGAGATCTGCAAAAGAACATTATGTTCTTTATGGTTAATTCTATGCATTTTATACTACCATGACATTTCAGAAATTGAAAAAAGTTTAGCAAAGAAGAGGCTCTGGGTAAGAATTCGAGTGACCAATTGGAGAGGTTTCTTCATTCCTCCCATGCTTTCTAGTGTGTTGGATTGCACCTCCCATAATACTTAGCTGTGGTTTGTTATTTTGTCCAAATTCTTCCTAAAAGTCATCCAGTATTTATCAATGAAGCTATTTTGATGGTTCCCCATATTAGAGTTGGATATATTGTGTAGACACAAGGTCAGCCACTAATCGATGTATTGTTTTTTCTTATTTCACAGTCTAAATAATTACAAGAAATCATGGCTGCATAAGTTAGGTTCCCTCTTTGTCGTAGCCCATCTTCTTGTTAATGCTGTTTACTCAGGAGCATCACTGTATGTTTCACACTTCAATTATCCAGGAGGAGTTGCCATGCAAAAGCTACACCAGTTAATACCTTCAACAGCAGGTAATAAAATTGAGACAGAACTTTAAAGCAGAAATGTTGGAGATCGTACCATGGATGGAGCATATAACGCACCTGTTACAAGAACTGCACTGGCTACCAGTCCATTTCCAGGCCCAATTGAAAGTGCTGGTCATTACCTATAAAGCCCTATACAGCTTGGATGCAGGCTACCTGAAGGACTGTATCTCCCTATATGCGCCTTTTTGGCAATTAAGATCAGGAGAGGAGATCCTCCTCTTGGTCCCATTGCCAGCACAAGCACAGCTGATGGGGACATAGGAGAGGGCCTTCTCAGTGGCAGCTCCCAGGCTATGGGACGCTCTCCCTTGGGAGACCAGGATGGCCCCTTCCCCTTTATCCTTTTGAAAAAAAGCTAAAGATCCATCTCTTCAGGCAGGTTTTGAACAATTATACCTGAACCCCATTTTAGCAGATAATTTTAAACTTTTTAATGCTTTCATGTTTTAATCTTTTAATTGTATTTTAAATCATATATTGTTTAATTTATCTTTTCATATTTAACTTACTGTGTTTTTAAATTGTGTGATTTTTAATGTTGTGAGCCGCTTTGGGTTCCTTGTTGGGAGAAATGTCGCATATACATCATCATCATCTAGGGTTGGGGGGGCAGACTGGTAGTAATAATAGGTAGTACAAACACATCGTTTGAATTATCTTTGGGAGGGGAACCAACTTTAAGAACACAATTTAGAGCACAGCCACGATGTTTCACCATTTCCTTGTTCTGAAATACCCCAAAGGGGAAGTGTTTAGGATTACCTTCAATGAGTATCAACCTTTACTGTATCATTACCCTCACCGGTATCAAACTGGGAAAGTAGATCACTGTTGTTGAATGAGGCTGTCAGAACTATGAGGATAAATCAATAATTATTGTAATTTTGGGGGGTGAAGTGAAAAAGATGTTTTGCTGGGTGTGGCGGCTAGGCATGGTGAACTGCTGTCCTAATCATCAGAGTCCCTTCAATTAAGACCATAATGAGAGGATGGGGAAAGTGTGACTCTTCCCAGCTGTTACTGCCCGCCATTCTCCTCGTGCTCCGCAACTGGCTAGAGCAAGTGAGAGCAGCAGTCCAGCAACCCCTGGTTGTTTTCCATTCATGCTATAAAAAGCTAGTTCCTCAGATCTTCATAAGAAGAAGGCAGAGAGAAGTTCTGATACGAATCCTTGAGAAAAAATCTCCTGGCTTGAGCCTGGCTACAAAAACTGAGTGAAAAACAGTTTCTGAGAAAAGTCAGTCAGCCTGAATCTTGGCTTTTTAATATCCAATAATGTCCTCCAATTTATTTATTTATTATAATTACGCCCCACATTTCTTCTAAGGAGCTCAAGGCAGGTCTTATGATTCTACCCAGCCTGTTTTATCATTGCAACAACTCTGAAGTTGGTTTTTCCTGAAATACGGTGACCACCACCACCCTGCATAAACTTGGCCTGAGTCTATGTTCATAGGAGGCTGATTCTTTAATTTAAAATATATATTGTCTATTCATTCCACACTTCTTGAGTCATTATTTTGCAGCCTGTTCCAGTCATTTAGTTGATCTATTGAAAAACAAAGATCCTCTGAGTGTTACCACAATATAGATTATTTATGTTACTTTATGCTTTCAGATATTTGTTATCTTGAAAGGCTTTTTATTTGGAAGTATTTTCTGTTCTCTTTTCAGACGTTTCTGTCCATATCGATGGGGCTGCAGCACAAACTGGAGTATCTCGATTTTTAGAAGTCAATTCGGATTGGAAGTAAAAACAAAGGCCTTTCAAAAATTTCTTTACCCTCTGCTTTTCTATTTATAAATGTGCTTGTCAGTTATGGAAATTGCTTGCTCTCGTACAGGGTGGTTGCTACTTGTTAGCAGCCCAAGGGTGATCTTTTTTTGCCCCTTGCTAAGCCGGAGGGCTGCAACAGGGCTGTGTAGGTACCATGGGAAGGGCTTCCTTTCCTCTGTGTCCTAAGCACTGTCTCACTGAGATGATGAAGTAGCAGAACTGGATGGGCAAAATATGCTCCAGGCTTCCTTCAGACCTTTTCTCAGCAAAAACAAAAAAACAAAAAGGTGAATTGCTGCTGCTGGACATCTTCAGGAGTGTCAGTTTCCTTTTAAATATGTTGCAGAGACACACACTCTTGGTGCAGTGAACATGGAACAAGTACCCTTTTTCCCCCAAAACCAGAGGTGGTTCATCTAGGTGCTCAAAAAAGAAAAAAAAGTGAATTGCTGCTGCTGGACATCTTCAGGAGTGTCAGTTTCCTTTTAAATACATTGCAGAGACAAACATCTTGGTTCAGTGAACATGGAACAAGTACCTTTTTTCCCCCCCAAAACCAGAGGTGGTTCATCTAGGTGCTTCGTTTGGGGGGGGGGGCATTTTTGGAATGCTGCGCAGCCCCCAGAAAGTATTAGGAGTAGAAAATTAGCTGCTGGGCCCACTGAAGTTGCCTGTCCTTGCAGTCCAGCATATCGTTTGGAGTGACACTCCACAAATTAATGGAACTGCCCAAGATTTGGGGGGGCATTTTTGGAATGCTGCGCAACCCCCTGAAAGTATTAGTAGAAGAAAATTAGCCTCTGGGTCCACTGAAGTTGCCTATCCTTGCAGTCCAGCATATCGTTTGGAGTGACACTCCACAAATTAATGGAACTGCCCAAGGGGTCTTTTGTGTGTGCCTTCTGGCCCAGTGGGAACCATTCCCTGAGGCCTCAGGTTGCTCTGAAGAAGCACAAAGGTGAAAATGTCCTTTGAAAAGATGGCCTGAGGCATTCTTACCTAATTTTTGTGTATTAATTGTGTGTTAATTGCATGACTTGGTGCATATTCAGATGAGCAGTGGAAGGTTTGTGGAAGTTTTCTGCTACTTCACTTTAACTTTGGCTAGCTATTCACTCTTATACTGGTTCAAAGTACCATGTGAGAGGGATGGAAGTCAGCATCCAAGCACATACTTTGCACATTGGAGGCCCCTGATTGAGAGTCAGTTGGGACAGGGAAAAGACTGTTGTTTCAGTCTTGAATACTCTTAAATCAGCCACTGTTGCTTGTGATGTGGCAGCTGTAGCCTACAGCCTTGTAGGTACCCTTGTCCATGATGAGGGATAGTGGGTAGTTGAGCAACATATGGGGCATCACAAATTTCTCACACATGCTATGTTATGGCAGAAATGAGTTAATGTTTGTATTCCTTATTGTGTGTTAATTGCATGACTTGGTGCATGATAATCAATGACTTCTTAACTAGCTGCAATTTGCCATTGTGATTTGTGCCATTACACTTAACATTGGCATATATAACCAATAGGATTCTGGCCATAGTTTGGGGATTTTTATGCTACTGTGTAGGAAGATCCAGAAGACACAATTTCATAGATGCTAGTTTCACAATTTTTCAGTGTTGAAACAGAATGTTCATAATATTCATTACTGGAAGTTGGTAGAAATATTCTGAATTTTCCAAAACATGCAAGTACTTTCCTTTCAACAATATGAAATAGTAACCAAACATGAGCAACCAGTACCGGTATATAAGAGAGACATATTATTCCATCTGTGCAGATTGATGGAATCTTGAATTTGAGATTTGACTCCTAAAAAAAACCATGTTACTCATATGTGCCATATGAGCGAGAGCTATTTCATTGCCTTTCCTAGAAGTGCCTTAAGAAAACAGCTGGCATTTCATTTTCTTATTCAGAAGACTTTTGTTGTTGTAACTGTGAATATAGAGTAAATTCTTTAATCCTGGCACTGCCATGCTGAATTAGGATGAAAGGCTTTCACATGTGGGGAATTTTAGAATAATATTATTGAGGGAAACTGACATCCTAATAACAGCTTCTTAGACAGCCAAAGGTGAAATTCCATTCAAAGAGTCATCCAGGTGTTCAGTTTGAGGCAGCAGATGGCCCAAACTTTCTGTTTTAATTAGAAGCTGAATACTGTATATGTCATCCAGTAACTAGCATACAATTTCATGCGAAGACAGGAAAAAGCTCTTCTTGAAGAGAGCTTTACAGCTGTGTTCTCTGTTATTTTGGGCAAACCTTATTTTGCATAGTTAGAGGGGGGTGACCATTATAAACAAATGGAAAACATGTTGCTCCTCCATGTCGGTGAGAAGAACATGAGGTCTTCCAGATGTCATCTGACTCCAGTTCCTGTCAGCCATAGCCAGTGTAGCCAAAGATAAAGGATGACAGGACTTGTGTGCCAACAATAACTAGAGGGTCACACCTTCTTCATCTTTGTTTTACATTGTTTTCTGCTCACAACCTCCTAGAGAGGCAAACTGTCTCTGATGAAGTTGGCAGAAAAGATGCTCTGCATCTGTCGTAAGGCACCTGACAATCTATTGGCTGTCAAACTCTTCATTATATAGGGAAAAAGTAAATGCAGGACAAAAAAATGCATCACAAATAGGTTGAACTGTGTTGCATGGCTGAAGGTATTAGCTGATGGTGATTAAGTGGAGCCAGCCAGTCAGGCTCTTTTATTAGTTTCCCCAGTCCAGTATCCTTTTGCAATCTCCATCCATCCATTCCCGCTGCTGGAGGATGCCAAATCAGTACTTCTACAGTCAGTTCAGGAGAGCAGGGAGATCAGTTGAATGAACTCGAGTTCCACTGGAATTTTCTTGGTTCGCAAGTACAGAGACAGCCTGGGTTGTCTCCAGGACTGTTGTGTGAAAAACCAGGAGTTGAATTGATTTTTTGCTTGATTTCTCAGCTGCTTTTGATACATCGACCATGATATGTGTGTATGAAGCTGCTAGGTGAGGTTACACAGGGATTTAGACTGAAGTATCATTAGCATTCTGATGACGCTGACCTTGGTGTTATCTGAAATGGATGAGGTTTTAGAAGTGCTGTTTTGATTTGGCAATGAGAAAAATAAAGATTAATAACCAAAGCTGAATCATAGCAAGGAAGGGGCATTGTGAATTGGTGGTTTCTAAATCCAGGATGTTGAGTATTACCTGTTCTGGATGGGGTTGCTTGCCTTTTGAAAAAGCAGGTGCACAGCTTGGGGGTGTTGTTGGATCCAGCACTATCTTTTGACATCCAAGTAATTAACCATTAGCATATGAAAAATCATTCAAGAAAAATAAGTTTAAAACAAATATCCAAGTTATAACTTTGCACCTACAAGAAGACAGTGCAGGGTACATCCTGCAAGTACATACATTTTTGTCTTGTGTAAAGGGGTCTCTTTGGAAAGGCCCAAGGGTTGAGCTAACAGAGAAGAGGCTACTGTCAGAAAAAGTTGCATCATCATGCAACCACTGTTTTCTCCATATAGAAGGATTATGTAGCAACTGCCTGTTTTGTCTGGGTGCATGTAGGGAGGGGTGCTTGTTACACTAGGTAATTGTTGTTTGTCTTATAGGTATGACAAAAGAGAAGATCTCAAACCGGGAGACTCACTCATGTTCTCTTACACTCATTTACTTATGGAGATGGACCCTGCTCAAGTATCACATTATAAAGCAACCCACCGAGTGATGGCATATATACCTGGCACCAGTGGGATTGGACTCAATTTTACTAAACTACCTCCTGTTACTTTAAACTTGAAATCTAAACTAGTACTTTTGGAAAAACTTCCTACTTCTTTTGGAACATAAAATATTGAGTCTTGAAATAAATTTCCCACTAAGATTCTGTTGTATTAATTCAAAACAAGTCAAATGTTTTTGAACAATCAAGGGAACCCTACGTGATTCCATTCATTTCTCTTCAGTGAGAGTGCTGCACGTACACATACATGCATATACTGCCAGTTATATGTAGATTGCCAGGCACTGGAATGTCACAGAATACAGAAATGTTTCCCATCTCACAAAGATGTAATGTCCAGTTAAATGCTATACAGTGGACCCTTGACTTACAGACGGCTCGACTTACAGACTTTTCGAGTTACAGACTTCTCTGGCTGCAAAATTTAGGTTTGACTTGCAGCCGGAGAATCGACCTACAGACCAGAAAAAAACCAAAATGGAACAAAAACGGAACAAAAACGGCCGGTTGCGGATTAATCGGTTTTCAATGCATTGTAGGTCAATGGAGCCTCGACCTACAGTCTTTTCGACCTGCAGCCACCGTTCCAATACGGATTAATTCCGTAAGTAGAGGGTCCACTGTATTCTAAGACAATTTATCTAGTGTTTTATGTTGTTTCCTGTACCTATGTATAAGTGGTTGAAGGTGCACGGATACATCTCCCCATCCCACCTCCTCAACTGCCAGGTACAACGTACATTACTTGAATCACAGCATCTAATTCTGTTCTGACAAGGTCCAAGCTGTCATTTGCAACATGGGATTGCAGTTACATACTGAACCTGGTTTTGGAGCAGGGATGTGAAATTGTTGGTATCTTTATCTGTTTGAACAGCACCTACATGGGAAAGATCCCATACACATAGCCTAAGCAACTGCATTTAACATCTCATACAAAATCTAGGAACTGAATCTAGAAAATCAATTTGTGCATATAGTGCATATAGATTTGTGCACATAGTGTTTGGGGTTTCTGCATGTTATACTGAATCATGACTCCAACTTGTTTATAATGTAGTAGTTGGGTACAGGTTCAACTATTTATGCTGGTGGGACCTCTGAACCAGTCTGTCATCTGCTCCACAGATTGTTCTGACCTACGATGCAGTCTTTGGAGTTGAAGGAGAGAAACGAAGCTGCTTCTGAAGGGTGTTACCATGACAAATCCCGTAACACAAATCAAGAGGAAAATAGTGTACCATGTTGTTGAGAACATCTGTCCTCACTTTATGTCTTAATTACCGTTAAGTCATTTTAGAAATTCTGGATGCAGAGATGGAACTTGTTAAGAGTCACTTAAGTGAATTGATCTTTTACATGAATATGTATATTCTATAAATATTTTCTCAGCCACATTCATTAAAATTTGTGGGTTGCTTTTTAAAAACAAACTGATAGAAAACATTCTTTTATGGCAGCCAAACTAATAGTGTAGTATATTTTGGCTTCCTCAGAACCCCTAGTTCACTACATGCCAAACTTATAAAAAGCAGTGAAGCCAACTGTCATATTGATGGCCTCTGCCCATTAATTGAAAATACGGATATGGAACTATCTGCTGCAAAAGAAGTTGTTATATGCAAGTATGCTGCTTCCAATTCATTACAATTTTTTAAAACAGAAAAGCTAGGCATTATACTGGGTGTAGCCTGGGACAGAATAAGGAGGGTGCAGGTTTACCAAGATGCAACAAATGCCAACCTGTACAACCAGTTCATTTGCAAAGCCATGCACTTTGGCGTATTGTGCCATGAGTTGGATTATTTTTATTGTGCATCAGAGAATATTACAGTAAGCATCCATTGACATACAATTTATTTAATCAAATATTCAGCAGCAGTAGATGCAACTAAGGACAAGCAAAACAATAGATCATGTTAGGGTGTGGCACAGGGCTGCAAGTACAGGAACCTTCACTGATTGCAAAGATGAGTTGGTACCATTGCACTGCTTTGTCTTCAACAGACCTTGTGCCTAGATTCAATCTATAATCTGCTTTTAAATTTGAGTTCCAAATTAGTATTGCCTAAAGAGCCTTCCTACTCATTCTGACTTTGTCAGTTATTTCAAGTAAGGCAGTGTGAGTGTGAGTGTAGATACATATCCCTAGTGATCATTCAGGCATGGATAAGGAGTTAGTAATTTAATAGTGGTCATTGAGTATCACGTTAGCATTCATAATGGGACTTTCTGCCTATCCCTGGGGGGGGGGGCTTCCCAACTTGTTTGGGAGGGTTTTCTTGTGCACTGGAGTAAATTTTAAAGAGGCACAAGGTCCCTCATTGGACAGATGCTCCGCAAGGGATACTGGCCATAGGAACCACGCCCATGTGAAGCATAAAAAGCTACCTGGTCAACTATGGAGGCTTTATGGCCCAGATGCATGTCATTATGACGATCCTGATGGCAATCTGTCAGCTCAAACCTGGTGGGCAACTTCCTGCACACTGGTCTCTTGGACTACCTCTCATCTAGCTTTTACACTCAAGAGTTCCTACAGCTCCTTTGACCAGTGCAGCCCTTCCAGAAGCATCAATGCAGTTGAGTGAAGTCTGTCCCAAATTGATTATTTCTGCAAAGGGACTATGGCAGTAGAATAAGGCTCTGTAACGTGGGCAGCCTGAACATTTTGCTAACACGTGCACTAAGAGGCGAAGAAAATTCTTAAGAAAGGACCCTAGGTCTGGAATGGCTGGCTCCAACTGTCGAGACCCCTCCGCTTGCATGCTGGCCTACAAATGCACAATTGGCCGTCTATGCCACACTCGTGTTGGACTCGGTGGTTCTCAAACTTGGGGGGGGGTCCCCAGATTTGGAGCGCAACTCCCAGGAATCCTGGCCAGCATAGCTAGTGGTGGAGACTTCTGGGAATTGCAGTCCAAGAATATCTGGGGACCTCGTTTGAGAACCACTGACTTCACCATGGACCTCACCTTCATAGAACAGCACCAACATCCCCAGGTACTCAGTGGGGGTTCCAGTGACAGCAGAACTAACTAATGATCCACCTGGGGCTTACCACTCAAATGACTTCCCAGAATAACTAGGAGACACTTGTTTTACCTGGCTGCAGTTTTCTACTTTTCCCTTGTACTGGGGATTGCATGGCTGGCACTCCATCACCCCGGGGTGTATTGGCCCAAGGGAAACTCCCGAAAAGCCTACAGATAACCACAAACTACACACAGATGATGAACCTAAGAAACACAAAATTGTATTTGTGTAGACATTGAATGCAAGACAGTTTTCTGTGCAAGGTACGAATATTTCAAGTATCCAGTCATGCAGTTAGGGCTGTGCAACATTTCAGCAGTCTTCCATTTTATGAATGATGCATTTCATGACCCGTTAGACTATTTATTTATTTATTTATTTAT